TAGGAGTAAACTTCAAGTTGATCAGATCAGTCATGAATCTTCAACAGCCGTCGGTTTTCTATTCGTATGCAAACCTTAGCTAAGCACGATTGAATCCGATGTTCTATGTTTAATTACTGTATTTTAAAATATATCACTTTATTACAAGAATTCAAATTAAGAATAATTTACTGAACATTTCTACTGGTCGATAACCATTTTTAAATAATTATTTTTAAAGTTATTTAAGTATAAAATTAAAGTCGGGACGTGGAGTGCGGTTGGCAACGCTTGTGGATAAAAATATCTCTACTAAACTTTAATTACATTAAAACTATTTATGGTCCAGTCAACATTTTTTGACCAGTCAACATTTTTAGAAAATTATTCTTACCTTAAAAAGTTATTATAATATGTTACCATTTAAGTTTCAGAAGTTGATCAAGTCCTAGTTAATACTAAAATAGATAAACAAAAATGTTTTCCTCAAAAGTGATAGAAGTAATACAACAAGATATATTTTATATAATCTCAATATCTGTGTTTATAAAATAGTATGTTTTTTTATATTTGAATAAACTACAAGTGCAATATCGAATACATATTGTTTATTCAAGTTGTACTACTAGATAAAACATAATATATCCATGGACACATTTTCAAAATCCGTAACTGAAAATCTATTTACCTGTAACCTAAATTTTCATATATTTTTTTAAACATTATAAGTATGTGTTCAAGCCGCTGCTAACATATGTGTTTAACAGCCAGGGCGAAACAAATAATAATAATATGGTAAGTACATGCGTCAATGTTGTTATATTATTTACCCACAAAAAATATTGCGTTGAGATACTATTCCCTTTTGCTGGTGAATAAAAACAAATTTTTATTGTTAATCTAAGATTACTTTTGGTTAGCTGACAACAACGGTAAAACTACAGTGTCTTAGCGCTGTTAACCATTAGAAAAATGACAGGAGGCCCATTCCTGTGTGTTATCATGTTCTGTTTGGGCACTCTGTTGGTACAAACGGCAAATACAAATCCACTAATGGACGAGATAAACTGGTTACTGAAGAACAAGGGTTGGTCCGCTCTGGAACCAATGGACATTCGAGAAAACGGAATGTATCATAACGTTCAGTGCTTATTCGAAACGATTAGCAACAACAAGATACAACCAAAAAACCTAAAAGAAAAAATGCGGCATGTACATCAGCTGTTGAGTTGTGAGTACGCTTTTTGGTTCGCGAAATTTTGCAATTACGAAACGAGTTTCGGCCAACAGTGCAAAAGAATAAAGAACAACCCTTATGTGTTATTCGATTGCATGCAAGACTATCTGCAAGACGTCCAAGAGGGCAACATAATATTTGGCTCGCCAATGATCGGTTCGCTGTCATATTTTTACAAGCTTCTTCCAGACATCGCATTCAACCGACAGGTCACGGAAATCATTGAGTATTTCACAAGTCACTGCAACCATAAAGAACTCGAAGATTCTGAATTCTTCTACGAAAACGGCGAAGGAATCAAATCATTTAAAATGGCGGTTTATATTCAACAAATCGAAGACGTTATATCCAATGTCGCAAGATTACTGCGCATGTTTTTCATAAGTAATTGCAGGTTTACGGCAGACTCTGAAAAGTTGGCTGACGTTTTCTTTAACAAGTCAGCAGCAAGAAATAATTCTTATTACCAGACCAAGGATCCCATTGAATCTATAAAAGTAATAAACGTTAAACTCGAATTGCTGGCCAATGGCTTTTTTAGGTTAAACAACGATCTCGGGTTCGCACTGATATCAGCTGACACTACAAGTTTTCGAAATTTAAAGCCTGTACCTAACCCGCACTCGCCGGATACAACTTTATCAGTGAATGCACGTATAACCCAGTTAAATGAGATTCTGGAAAGGCTACCCGAATGGCTGTCGACGGATGTTTATGGCAACAATTTGAGCATCGTAGTCGAGTCCGGCGAACGATACAGTTTCAATGAATTATTCGAAAGCGGACCTGAACGTCAACCGGTGACGTTGGAAAACTTTGACAGTAAATTTCGACAAGTGCATCAGGCATTAAGCTGCAAGTTCGCCGGAACGTTAAAGAACTACGTCGATGTCAGTAGAGGTCTAGGACTTCAATGCAGGAAATTTTCAAATACTTATTTGTCGTACAAGTGTCTGTTGACCGTCTTGCAATCTATCAAGAAGAGTGACACAATGTTAATGACGATGAAATGTTTTTTTTTGGACTTACACCAGATTTCTCCGCAAACGCCATACAAAACGGATATTTCCACCATATTAGATTACATTAAATCATACTCTGACAACATAACATTCTTCGGTTCAGCGTTCGACAACGATTCGCCAAATATAAATTCTGATCTAGTCACAAACGAGTTGAAAACGATTGAAAACATCCTGTCCTTCGTCGAAAATTATTTGCGCTTATTCCTGAATGGATCTTGCTGGTTGTTGGATGTTCATCAACGAACTACGGGTATGTCTACTGCTACTTATGGAGTTCAAAATCTTTTAGAGCCAACCAACTCTGCCGCAGACTGCATAAAACATCTAGAAGAGAAAGTCAAAATAGAAACACATAACTTTAAAAACCATCACGAGAAATTCGGGTTCTATTATGATTCTGTATCGTCTGCTCTGGTTGTCAAAAATAAAAAAGAGTTGTTTTAGTAAAATACATGGTACACTAATAATATTTTAATGATTAAATAACTGTTGTAACATTAGAAACAATTTTGATAAAACTATTATAACTGCAAAATATACAATAACATAGTTTTTGTAACACATCATTTTTTGTGTAGTAAAAGGGGATTTTTATTTGTTGTCTTTAAGTAAGCTATTTATTTTTTTAATTAAAAACCGTAAACTTTAAAATTATTATGTTGGTAGGTCATTTTTCTTAATTAGATCCAGATTTAATCACATATAGCCATAGTAGTTGGATTGATCTATCAGGTAGATATTGTGTAAACATTTTGTCTTCTACTTTTAAAATTCGTTTTTAATTTACTATTAAATTGTTATTGACATTGTTTATTAATATCAATGTAATTTGTGAAAAAAATAAACAGATGGGAAGATCAATAAACAAGTGGGAGAGTGTTAATATTAAAGGAGTACCAAAAGCATGGGATAAAAAACCCAATTTTTTTACATAAAAAAAAGCATAAAACCATAAATCTGTTTCCTACATAACCTTGTTAAGTTGCCAAAGAACTTAAATATCATTACAGAATTAAAATCAGACCATCCAAAGTAATCGAAATTTTGTCTGGCGTTTTCGTATAAAAAAATCGACCGCAGGCAATCCCCTTAAGGGTGGATACGATAAGGGTTGATCGTCTGGCTAAAAAATGTAGTGCCACAGTTACCCATTTATCGTTAACGCCTCGGTTTTCAGAATCGCTTTTGTTTTTTTATAAATTTTGACTTTTGAATGTTAATAGGTGTAAATGTATGTCATTCGGCGGTGGCGAGTGTGATTAGTACTCGGCCACCACCGGAGTCGCGATGCGACCACGTCATGGTAACAAATGGTTTCGTTCATTCACATTAAAGCTTACCCAACTAATGATAAACTGAAATGCCTAAAATATACATTATTATACCAACAATAATTGTAAGGATACAACCAAAAAATTAAGCGTTTTTATTTGTAATTTAGACTATTATACCTTTTCTTCAGATTCAACTACTAAATCGTCATTTCCTATGAACTCGACAACGTCATTAAACTGCAATTGATATAGTTTTTCTAATGCAATATCAGAGTTAACAATTGTGCTATAAAAATTGCTTTGTATTACTTTAAAACTGTTTCAACTCTATGACAAACCTGATAAGCCACGTGAAGTTTTCTTAAAAGTACCGCCAGCAAAAACTATAAATCTTTTCGTCCATTATAAACTTAGAAGTTTGCATAAAGCCAACACAATTATTATGAATAGTAATGCGTCCATTATTATTATTAAATAAGTGTTTATCGTAAAACAAATTTGGTCAAAAATGTTACTTAGTGTGCCCCTGTGCGGCAAATGTATATGTTTATAAAATTGAACGCACCAAAAATATATTGGCACACATAATAATATATAATAATAATACTATTTTTAGTCTCCTTCTACACCTAAAATCTGCATAGACGTAAACCAGTTGCCACCGACTATAGTTACTATAGATTCGTACATACATTGATTTAAATTTGATCAATAGTACAGTCATATAGGCTATAACTTAATCAAATAAAAAAAATATCAACTTTATTTTACAAGTTAGTCAAATACCTAGATGACCTATGAAATTTTTAATTTTTTTTCATAATTAATAAAAGGGACCTATTTTGTATAATCAGTATGTTTTAAATTATAAAAACAGTGCTAATTCTGTGTATAAATATATACACACAGCCACCTTACCCACGCACACCTACTCAACCACGAACCTCAGCCAATATGTTCTACCTGCAATAAACCAATCTCCATGAAACACATCATTATAGAATGCAACAACTACAACAACGAACGTCACATACTCAACCAGCCAAACAACATTCAAAACGCACTAAAAGAAAACAACGAAGAAAACATTCTAAAATTCATTAAATTAATTAACTTATGTAATAAACTGTAAAATTCAATATTGTACTAAAAAATGTAAATGTAAATGTAAACTAAAGGCTAATGACCTAGTAGTCGAAGCCATATTTAAATTTAAAAAAAAATATATATATATATATTTTTGTAACTGTTACAAACATTAAAAACTTAGTAATCAGCATGAAAATATTGTTTTTATTTTAAATTCAACTCATGTGTTTATTATAAAAACATTGTTATTGAAACAATGTAGCGAATATTTGCGACATCTGTTATTTATATAGCTGTATTTGTAAACGTACAAAATATTCTTAAATTTATTTACTTCAGCTTGGATGCGCCAGCAAGAAAATATGGTATTTCTTAATTTGAAGCTATAGAATTCAGTTTCTTGTGGTTCTTACAAGTTTCCTATCATTCAATTTACTTTTCTATCAAGTATTTGGCGTTCTACTAAATAGGTGTTTAATCATAATCATGAAGATCTTATTCTTTTGTATTATTCTGTTGTCAGCTACGATGGGAGTTATCCAAAGTAATGTATAAGTTATGGCACGTTCTACATAATTAAAAACATTATATACGTAAATAAGGTTTTGGTCTAACGATCTAATATTGGTTAATAAAGATATGAATTGACAGGATAGTCGATCGTCATGATTAATTTCTACATGTATGTTGAACTTATGTAGAATGCTACATCACTATTTTTTAAAAAGCGTTATTTTTAAAAAATGTCTTAAAATGTTGTTTCTAAAGCAGCGAAAGTCAGTCAAACATTTTAGTCTAAATTAATATTGTTTTCAGGGAGGAACTCTATTAATATTGAAATCAATCGTCATCACCATGTTAACATGATCAATGGCCCTGACAATAATCCTGGTAAGTCAATGTACATATTATATCAATACTAATAGTCCAGTCTGAATGATATGGTTATTCATAAACATTACCACCTGCGCCATTTAGAAAATACTGGAATAATAGTATTAATAATGTTTTTAATACATTTTCAAGTGAATTTTAAAATTTGCAAGCAAACCAACAAGTCAGAGTAAATTAATATTTTTTCAGTGGCAAACACTAAATCACCTAAGACAATTTACGGAGTTGAGAAAAATATTTTTGAATTTGATTTGCGTGGCAATAATAGTAAGTCAATGGATATATTATATCATACCCAATAGTAATGTCTGAATAATTAAGATATCCACAAGCACTACTACTTGCACTATTAGGAGAAGACTAGAATAAAAATAAAAATAAATTTTTAATAACATGTATAGATTTTTAAACTGTGAAATCAACTGTAAAAATTTAGACTATAATAATATTTTTTTCAGGGAGAGATCGTCCACCGCATATTAATATTTACTACAAACCTGGAGTTACTAATAGTAAGTCGATGTATATAATATTATATCATCCCAAATAGTAAAGTCTGAATAATTAGGATATCCGCAAGCACCATTAGGAAAAGACGGAAAAAAAAAATAAATCGATTTTTAATAACTTATATAGATTATTTCAACTGTGAAACCAAGTCAAACAACTTAAACTAAATTAATATTTTTTCAGGGGAAAACCCTGCACCGCATATTCATATTTACTGCCCATGTGGAGTTGATGGCCCCGAAAAAAATAGTAAGTCGATGTATATATTATATTCCCAAAAGTTTAGTTGCGAGTGATAGGGAGATCAGAAGTAGAGATATTAAATTTTAATTATTAAATTTAATAAAATACTTTTCCACGCTGAGACACGAGCTACAAAAGGTACATAATATATCAGCATTATATAGGTACATAATCTATGACTCATCTTCGATACGCTTTTTTACATTATAATATCAACACAGTTATTTTTGTTTACTTTTATTACGGTTTTGTATACGAAAACAAATTTTCTTTAATAGCTGGTCAATTTTAAGGGGATTGCATGTGGATTGGTTTTAAGGAGATTTGTATAGACAATATTTAAAATAAAAGAGGTTTTAGTTACTTTCGGCCATGTCAATTAATTTACCAGTTAATTTGTTAATGCTTTAAAGTATTATTTTTAATTTAAAACAATTTGTTTTTTTTAGTCTAAGACATTTTGGTTTTTTTAGAACAAAAAGCCAGACAAAATGTCGACTACATAGGATGGTCCAAATTTATTTTTGTAATGTGATTCGGGTTTATCGGCTACTTTACTAGGTATATGTTATGCAGGAAGCCAATTTTTATTCAAACATATCACTGTCTTGTAATTAAAAAAATGTAATTTGTAATTCTTTTAATATTAAAACCTGATAATTTTATACATAAAAAAAATAAGATATCAAAAATATTAGCAGTTAGTTAGTAGTTAGAATGTTGTGTGGATTTTTGGTCTAAATCAGCCCACATGCGATTTTTTAAGAAACATTTGTTGCAGATTTACAAACATTACCATACGAATTGTAACGGTTTGTTGTTTGTCTACAAACAAGTGTTTTTTAACGCATTTTGTTTTGCCGTTTGTGTATTCAAATGTTTGAACATTTTTCTTACACGGTAGAACCCTGATGTTACAATAATTATAGCAAATAACTTTTTTGTACATAATGATACAATACAATATTATAATAATAATAATTGTTTTATTAAATCGTCCCAATGTAAACTCAAATAATTATTGGCATTTATAAAAAAAAAAACAGTAGTCTCTATAATATTTGTAACAAAATATTATAACAAAAAAATAAGCTATTTCAAAAAACCAACTTGTTTTCCTTAAAAAAAAATTGTAAAATTGAAAAAAGTCTATTTAAAATAAAATACTTCAGTTCATAAACTTGAAACTTGAAAAAAATTTGCGAGGGTTGAGTGGTTTCCGGTTTTTATGATTATAATAACTTTGGGTTTGTTTATTAACGTATAATAATATTTACCTAATAGAAATTATTGCCGTTTTCGAGGTAAAGGTTATTAAAAATAGTTCGGAAATTTGTTAATTTTTTTTTTGTTTTTTTTTAAATGCCATATTATGATATTATAAAAACGACATTAATAACACTTCTTAATCAATACAACTCACAGTAGGCGACAATACAGACAGAGATCTACAGGATTATTTAAAGTAATATAGGATTAAAAAAATCCATTATTCCAATATATCGGATTAATGGAAACAACTATTCTGCCAATCCAGAAAAAAGGAAATACTGGTTAAAAGCAGATCAAAATTAATCAATTAATTAAGTATTTAGACTAATGAATGTTTCGAGGTAAAGATTTGTAACAATCTGTGAATGGTTTTTTTTAGTTTATCAAACATTTAGAAGCAGTATAGCTACATTATAATTTTGGTTCTATAATTTTTATGAAATTTATTATTTTGTAATATTTCATGAGATTTTTATAAAATCTTTCATTTGGGAGAAAAAAAATTTCCGTAAACTAAAGATTACTGATATAAATATAATCCAATTTTTTTTATTAATCCCGGTTTGAAAGTAATCCATAATCCGTTTGTAATCGATTAAAGATTTTTTATTAATTTTGCCCATCTCTGTTAACAGTGTTATCAGAATTTCATGTTACACATGATATTTTGATGATATACAAACATTTAAAAAAATTTACTTATGCCTAAAACATATAGTTATTTATTTTAAGAATATTTTACTGAAAAAGTTGACTGGCCGATAAAAAAGCTGGTTATCAACCTGTCTAGTTTCACTAGGAACTATAATTCCCATAGTAGTATAAAAATCATTATTTTTAAAAAACTGTCATAGTATTTGTTTCTAAGACAGCGAAAGTAAGTCAAACATTTTAGACTAATTTAATATTGTTTTCAGAGGTACCACCGACTTTCGATTTTTACATCGGTGGTGAAACCCAAGTCAGCCAACACCAAGACCCTTTAAATAATAGTAGTAAGTCAATTTACATATTCTATCAATACCAATTGTGCAGTCTGTACGATTAGGTTATCCGCAAACATTACCACTTGCGCCATTTAGAAAAAACTGGAATAATAGTATCAATAATGTTCTTAATAAATGTTCAAGTTTACATCAAAATGTAAAAGCAAACCAAAAAGTCAGATTAAATTAATATTTTTTCAGGGGCAAACAGTGAATCACCTACGAATACTTACGGAGTTGAGGAAAACATTTTTGAATTTGATTTGCGTGGCAATAATAGTAAGTCGATGGATATATTATATCATACCCAATAGTAATGTCTGAATAATTAAGATACCCACAAACACCACTACTTGCACCATGAGGAGAAGACTGGAATAATAATATATATTGATTTTTAATAACTTATATAAATTATTTAAACTGCGAAATCAAGTATAACAAGTTAGACTAAATTTATATTTTTTTTTAGATAGAGACCAAGCACCGCATATTCATATTTACTACCAATCTGTGGTTTATGGCACCGGCAATAATAGTAAGTCGACGTTTATATTATATCATTCCTAATAGTTATGTCTGAATAATTTGGATTTCCGCAAGCACCATTAGGAAAATACTGGAATAATAATATAAATATATTTGTAATAACTTATATAAATTATTTAAACTGTGAAATCAAGTCTAACAAGTTAGACTAAATTAATATTTTTTCCAGAGGGAAAGAGTCCACTGCTTATTAATATTTACTACCAACCTGGAGTTCTTGGCCCCGAAAATAATAGTAAGTAGATGTATATATTATTTCACTCCCAATAGTATAGTTGCGTGTGATAGAGGTATCAGAAATAAGGATTTTAAATTTCATTTTTAATAAGTTACTTTTCACGCTGAGAGACGAGGTATAAATAGTAAGGGTATAGCATGCATTCTGTTTTTAGGGAGATTTGTATAGGCAATATTTAAGATAAAAGAGGTTTTAATCAATTTCGACCATGTCAATTAATTTATCAGTTAATTTGTAAAAGCTTCTAAGTATTATGGTTCCCTTGCTCCCAGTCCATTACTTCTAATCTCTCTAGATCTTGACGCACTCCATACATCCATCGTTTTTTTGGCCTGCCTCTCAATATACGTCATACGCTTAAAAAAAATATATTATTAATAACATACTCTGAAAAATTAGGAAATCCGCAAGCACCACCACTTGGACCATCTGTAGACCACTGGAATAATTATATGAATAATGTTAATACTAACTTTCCAAGTATGTTAAGAGATACACAGCTCGCATTGAAGCTAAGAATAATTAAACTATTATTTACTGTCTATGTTATCTGTTGATATAGGTCAACCTTGGGCAAACCCTTTCTACAATAGTAGTAAGTCGATGTATACATGTAGTATATTATTGCCAATAGTATACTCTGAATAATTAGTTATCCGCCAACATTACCACTTATATATTTTCAGGGAACAACACTGAACAGCCTGCGAATAGTTACGGAATGGCTGGCAACGACAATATTAGTAAGTCGTTTTAAATAAAAAATATTACATCATTATTAATAGTCTGAATAATTAGGAAATCCGCTATCACCACCACTTGGACCATCTGGAGAACGCTGGAATAATAATAATCCTAACTTTCCAAGTATGTATCGAACTGCGAAACCAAGTCAAATCACTCAGGCCTGATTAATATTGTTTTCAGTGGGAAACTATAGACCGTCATCTAGTTGGTATAATGGACCACCATTACCAGTACATGGAGCAAATGATCCAGACTACGTTAATTATATAAATACTGTTTATCCAAATAGTAACTTTCCAAGTATGTTTCAAACTATGAAAGCAAGTCAAATCAATCAGACCTAATTAATATTGTTTTCAGTGGGAAACTATGGACCGTCAACTAATTCGTACTACGGATCAGGATTTGGTGGCACCGTTAACAATAGTAAGTCGATGTATATGACGTTATATCATTCCAATAGTATAGTCCGAAAAATTAAGTTTTTAACAAACATTACCACTTTCTCCATTTGCATATTTGGCTATAATTAAGTACCTTTTTGGATTCTATCTGTATTTTAAAGACCTAACACTTCTCGAAAATACGAGTAGTTATACGGTTAAAGAGATACTCAGCTTCGCATTGAAGCTAAGAATAAATAAACTATTTTTTATTGTCTATGTTATCTGTTGATATAAGTCAACCTTTGCCAAACCACCCTTTCCACAATAGTAGTAAATATTATATTATTAATGCTAAAAATAAAGTCATCCGTGATACCGAACCCGGTGTACCTTTTCTCTTCAAACACTACCCCTATACTCACCACGGTCACAACATTTGGCGCAGTCGGTAGGATTTATTAAGGTTAGTGCAAAATTAAAATTTTTTTTTTTTTATAATATCATTAATTTTGTTTTTTTTTTGCGCACCCTTTAAATTTAATTCTAAAGAACCTAGCTTTAAGCAGGACATAGAACTTAGCGTGTACTCTACAGAGAAAGTTCTTAGTTTTTTTGGTTTAAAATACAAGTTGATCAGCGGGGAGTAGAGACGGGTGGCAATAAGGCCAGCCTTACCCCGAACCGGCGATGACCTCAACTACCCGAGAAAAACTCCATCTGTGGGGGACTGGATATATCGCAGGGCACACCACCTATCTAACGCAGGGAAGGAATTTCCCGTGGGGTTCGTCCCGAAGTGGCTAGACCCGGTTAGGTTAGAAAAAAATATGGGTCCCGGGGGAAAACGCCCGGTTAGACTCCATTCATCAGCGAATGAAACTGGCAAATACCCATTTCCGTAAAAATGTTTTAACGTCCGCTGTTTCAGGAGCACGCGATGAAATCCCGACGCCTCAGCAACAACCGGCGCCCACGACCATCTCGACGAGAGGTAGACGACCACGTGGCGTGGCTCCGCAGGACGGCGGAGGAAGCTTTGCTAGCGGTAGCCCGCCTAATCCGAGTAGTGAAGCTGCGGGAGCTGCGAGCCAAGGGACAACTGGGCGCCGCCTACGACCGCGGTATCACGGACGGGTTAGTCGCGACCAGAGCGGGGAGGGACCTTCCTCTGCAAGTGCGGAGACAACGGTCTCAGGGGCAAAACCACCGAAGAGAAAGGCGCCAGCCGGCACAGGACCGGGCAAGACGGTCCAACCACTGCCAGAACGTGAGGGACAACAGGAGCCGTTTCCGACCGCGCGCAGGACAAGGGCAGCTTCCTCGACCGGACAACCCAGCCATGGAACCAGCCAGGGAGGTGGACGAGGTAGGGGTTCGGGAAGCAGCCGGCGTCCAGTTCCTACAGCCAAACGTGGTAGTTAGGGACCACCTGGAGGTGATGGATTATATTTTCTAAAACTATAAACATTTTTATTGTAATATCACACTCATTTTCAATAAAACTAACGCGTACACTCTGTGAAAAACCACAAAATGCACTTATTATTAGCAAAAATCAAAAGTTATTAATGGTTTAATAATTGCTCTCCTCGCGTGATCACACTTCTTTTGATATTCTTTAACCACAGTCTGGTGATCGCATCCAATCACGTTTCCACCTGACTCCTGAAAAGCTTTGGTTGTCTAGTAAATTTCTCAAATAGTTGAACGTATTGCACTTCTAGACAAATAAATTACATCTAATGGTAACCGAATAGAAATATTCCATGATATAAAAGAATTAGGAACTCTTATTTTGGAACATAAACCTTGTCCGTGGTAGATGTAGCACAACAGGTGATTAAAAAGCCATTTACTTTAATTCAGACCTGTTTTAGATACGTACTTTTTATAAATAAATTATAAGAATTTAAAGTATTTTACAAGATCAAAAATATATTGTATCATTTTGGGTACTAGTAAATATCATTGTTTATTAAGTATATCAAACGCGCAGCATATTACCATGGCACATGGTTGTATTTAAAGAAAACACTTGCTGCCAAAAAAAAAAAAAAATTGTGGTTCATACAATAAAAAACAACTAATATTGCAAATTCATTGTTTCGTGGTCTATATCATTTTTAAAGCACATGATCTGAAAATTGCTTAGTAGTCTATTTATAAAAGTCTTATTAAAAATGCAATTATTAAAATTAATGTTCTTAAATTATACAACATATTCATCTTTTTTTTTTGAGCATTTTTTGGAATTTCGATAATAATATTTAAATAAATAATGTCATTATATATTTACAAATTGAGAGGGTTTCCAATTTCTGCGAGGAATTAGATTAATTCAAAATACTAGAATTACATTTTTCATGACAGTTGGTGTAATCATTTATTTGAACAAATAAACGGACTCGTTCAGCTGAAAAAAGCGTTTCAGCGATATCATATTTTATTTTGTGGTTTTTATAGTGAAACAATCACTTTTAAAAAAACCTTTCGACGAGAATCTGTAGACTCGGTCTTGTTAAAAAATAATTATCGTTTAGGGTTTATTGTTTGAATTGTTTAGACAGGGGGGAAAAAATCAGTCTAGTAGTTTGAGCAAATAAATAATAATGATATTCTCATTATTTATTTTAATAAAAAATGATTGTACAATATATGTATACAGTATACGTTAATATAATAAATGAGTTAATTATTGCACCATGTTTAAACAATTATTTTTCGTTGAACATAATTTGTCCTACGGACTAAGTTAAACAATTTTAGGTTGCTCAAGTATCGTCTTCAAATTTAAATATCTATTTCTTACGATACTCCACGATGTTTTCCTAAAAAAAAAAGACAAATTGGTTTTTTACTTATTAAACAAATAAATCATATTTAAATCGTATTTTACTATTATTCTTGTGTAAACCTTACAAGAAATTAAAAAATAAATAAAGGATTTTTATATAACTTGGCCAGCGAGTACAAATGTACTTAAATAATATACTTTAGAAAAATGTATCAAATATCTAAATCTGCCTAAAACCGTACTACATTTCTTTTTTGCAATAGTCGTAAATTTGTTCTTATTTTGCAAACATATAGAAGCAATATTTTACACCATAATAATATGTCTTCCCGTTTTATCGTTATCTCTAATAGCTTAATTTCTATTAACAATTATTTTAAAATACAATTTTTTTCTGTTTTTACTTACTTTAATAAAAATGTATTTAATTATAGTGTCAAAAATTGAACGATGCTCGTCGTACAATATTGTTTTTTTTAAGTACCACAAATATTTTATGATTCTATGATGGGTGTTGGAAAAAAATAGGACAGTTAATATCCGAATAATAATAATAAAGAAAAAAAAATTAATTACACGCAAAGACCTTGTAAGTAATGAACTGTAACAAAAGTACCTACACAGAAGTTGTGTTTTTAGATTAAGATTTAAACAAAAATTTGACAATACCGAACCTCTTAAGGAATCAGTAAATTTATGTTATCTTAACTCTCAACCAAGAAGTCGCAATAAGTAAAATATTATAAAGTAAGCCAGAAGGCGAACTGCAGTGTGACCACAATGACGAAATCACATTTTTCTGGTATGTATATTTTTAATTTTGTTTAACTACTACAAAATATACAATCTATCAGTTATAATATTATCATATTGTCATATTAAATTTAAATTTGTGTATTTATCTGTATAGCTGATAAGAGTTCTACTGTGCAGTGTTTAACGACTTATGAAACAAGTATTTATTTTTATTTCAAGTGGTCACACTGTCGACAGGCCAGGTTGGGTATGATGTTACAGCACTATATTATATTTTTACACAAATGCTCTGAACGCGTCAACACAACATAATCAAACATATATTATACTTTCAGCGTTGAACATAAGTCAGATGAACTCTTACCTTGACTTTATTAAGGCAGTCGATCAAATGGTTTAAGACGTTTTTACAGAAGTCGGCAATTTCGATTTTGCTTTGGTCGTCGACAAACTTGTTAGCTATGTACGTGCAACCGGATACAAAGTACTGAATAATTGCCACATAACCGTAATGGAGGGCTTTGGGATTGGGCCCGTGTCTTATGTAGTATTTTTGCGCAAACTGATACTCGACTCCCGGAATCCAGTTGCTTACAAAATCTCGAATTTCTTCGTCTAGATCGGGCCGGGATAGGATCTACGGATAGAATGGCAGCAAATTAACTAGATCATACATTATATTTGGGAAGACTTGACACGTAACCGAATTATTCATCACATACTTGTTCGGTCAACGCGGTTAACTCGTTCAGTTGGAACTCTTGGAAATTTTCGATGCCTTTAACGGCAATATTAAACGTCTCGTCGTCGGCGTTCACTCCCAAAGTCTCAAAAATTTCTCTGGATAAACTTTTAACCGTTTTTTCGGTACCGTCGACGAATTCGAAATATCGGCTTTCCTAAGTACAGTATCCATAACTAAATATTAGTAACTATAATAATATGATAACTTAACGTTAATATGATAACGTTATAACTTAATGGTATTCAGTATTTTAATCGCATATGTGTTTACAACAATATAAAAAGACTAATATCTAACATAATTATTATTGTTAGTTGGAAAAATCCGCATCGGTTTATCGTATCAGTGATCAGTCTTGAAAATCTTAAAAGGTTTTTAACTTGGACTAGTCCGTGTAATCGCAAAATATCTTAACGTTATTATAGAACAATTGATTAGTATATTTTTAAAATTCCAACAAGCGCAAATATAAGAAATTCAAAATTATTGATTGGTTTTAATAGTAATATGTTTAATAAAAAAAAAAAATTAATAAAACCAAAAAGTTATTACACACCTTTGCTTGGTCGTATGTCATACTTTCCAAATGATTGCTTAAACGTTCGCAAGAATTAGACATTTTATATAATTTCTTAACAGAAAAAAAAACAATTAATTAAAAACGGTTTAGTTCGAAAACGCCTTATGTCTTATGTTGTACAGGTACTGTCGTAGACTAAATAAAATATCATTGACACAACTATATTATTTGTCCGTTTTATATTATAGTTAAAACAGTTAAAATGTTCAATTTGGATTTTGATTAGGCGCCGTTAATCTAAGAAAGCATATTCCGTTAATGGAAAAGTTATCGTTGATAATATTTTGGTAGTAAACAATAATTGTTGATTAATAAATAAAAACTCAATATAGGTTGAGGTCAAAGGGCTGTTTTGTATGGAAGATCAAAATATAAAATGTTATATTAATCGATTTTTAAAATAACAGTATTTCACAAACATTTTTGTGAGTTTAAGATTACATAACTTTTACATGTTAAGTGATTCGTAACGATACGACGCTTATTTTTTGTTAAAATAGTTGCAAGTTTGTAGTTTTTCTTTTTGAAAACATTTTTGTTTATGTTATTTTACAATAATATAGATTTAATTAAAAATTTACCTTTTTTAGTAATTTCCAGAACTTTTTTTTCTATTAACATAAAGAGTAACAATTGTCTTCTTTATCCAAACTATAAGACTGTTTATATTTAACTACCATACGAGTAGATACTCACTAATGTTCTAAAATATTTTGGTGCCTATCAAAACTCAAAAGTGTATCACAAGTGTTCAAAGCTACAGCCAAAGTATAATTTTTTACAGATATTTTTTTCAGGGATCATTTTTACAGGGAATTATTTTTTCTCAATACTATATCTATTGTATTGGTACACATTTATTATTTTATTGGTGAAAACAAAGATGTTTTGGTTTTCTGTAGTTTACTTTTTGATAAAAAAAAAAGCGAATGCCTTGTTATTATAGGTGGCTGTTATAGTAGTAACGACAAACCTTTGACCTAATGTGACTGGCCGTCCACATTTTGTGTATTTAATACTAATTATTGGCTCTGATGAATTCCTAATACTAATAATTGGCCTGGAATCGTTCAAAAACATCATGCTACCGAACAGGATAACGTTCAATTGGAATCGATAAATTTATAGCTAGACATACAAATAGTTCTTTTTCTTTGTCTTTGCTTTACACTCCCAACTACATACATATTATAATATATATGACTATATTACTAAGTTATATATATATATATATATATATATATATATACATAGAAATACATGTGTATTAAGTTATTTAACCACATTGCCATGTTTGAGTATGTTTGTATGCATTTTATTGCATACAAAATAATTTCGTGAATATATTACTTATTTATTGCAGACAGACATATTTGTTTTACAACCAATATTAATAGCCAGGTGTTTTGTTTGCACTGAATTACCAAAATGGCTAATTGTAGTCCGGCTGCAATAAGCACACCAAATCAGTTTTACATAACGATACATTTAGATACTTTTGATTATGTATTTTTTTCTTTATGTACTTGGGTGTTCATCTATATTGTTTTAAGAATTTAAATGAAATTTTCAAAAATTTAAGAAAATGTGTAAAATATTTCACTTGACGGTTCTTTATTGTGTTGTTACCGCAGCTTTAGGTAAACCGGCACATTATGCTCATTGAACTCATACAAAAATCACTAGTAAGTAGTAACCGCTAATGAAAGTTGACAGTTTATTGATAATGTGCTGCAGGGGCCGATCAAGACGGTAAAAATAAATTGTTTCAACCCCTTGGATCCGCCCCTGTGCTGTGGTGGATTTTTTTGCCATTACACAAACTAGACAAGTCAATTTACACGACGGTAGTGTTGGTTGTAGTATTTTATTAGTCCGTACGATTATATTGAAGTATTTAGTAAACAAAACGGTGTCAACTTAAATGTGTTAAGTTTACTCGTCGTCTGAATCTTGTTCTCCAATTCGAGGCGGTATGTCGCAATACCACTCTACGAGTCCCCGGGCTTGGTCGAACAACATTGTTTCATAATATGGACTACTGGCGACACATAGGCGATCCCGGTAGAACTCCTTGGGCGGTATTGGCGGTTGATCCAAGACGCCAGGTGTTAAAATCCACTCTGTCGGAGTTATACAGCAAGTACCGTCGTTGTTATCGTTGCATTTCGGTTGGTTTTTTATCCGGAATTCGACAGTGCGCTTGATTAACCCGACCAATACACATTTGAATCTTTCGCCGTTCGCGCACATTTTTATGCGTTCTGTAACAACGTAGCACAATTAAATGACAAAAAAAAACCCATAAAATATTATAGTACATTTATCAACCTTGACCATCAATACCGATACCGCAAGGCGTTTAACAACAATAACCACCCCACTGGAGCTTCAATGATTTTTTAAGAAAAAAATTAAAAATAAAATGATAGTTATTACCAATTCGGGTTGTACCTAATTATTGCTGTCGCATATTATAGTATAAAAAATTGATTTTTTAATTTTAAAAAAAAGAAACTTTGTTCTACCCATTTAAAGGTATTTTGTTTTATACAATTTCACATAGGTTTTATACATTGGTTCGGATTCATTTAAGTAACTACAAAATGATGTTTTTGTTCAAACTGGTTAAAATGTAGCGCAATAAATATTAATCTGATCGCTTACTTCTTTTTTCGCCGAGAGCCATTCGGAATTTTTTATTTAGAATTTCCCCTCTCAGCTCTACCTCGTCGTCATAGGAAGTCACACCTATAACATTTAAGATAATATACCTTGCACCTTTTGGATAAGAATGTTCAGCTTTGTCATTTTTTAACACTAGCTATAGTTTATTGTAAATACATTGTACAACTATAATAGTTTTACACAGTTATATATAACTAAATAGACCAAAATGTTAAGGTACAAAGTAGAAATGGGAACAATAATTGAATGTTAGGCAAAAGAAAACAATAAATTAAAAAGATTGGGATAATTTGTTAAATTTAAAATTGATAAACCCGGATATTACCTAACCTATCGCTAGTGCACAGAAGTTACCCAGAAGTTTCGACTTAAATTTACAGATAGTAATAATTACAAAATATTGTAATGTTATACTTACCGACAAGATTAATTCTAGGGGTTGCCTCTGTAATAAGCACAATACATTTTACAAATTTAACATTTAAAAAAAATGTCTAATCTAAGTATCTTATGGTATCTTCAATTAATAATAATTTAATATCATTATCATTTAAAGTAATAACCGTACAAATAAAATTGTTGGCAGTTTTGTAAGCAAAAAAAAGGTTTTTCTTGTAAGTTGTAGCTATATTAAAATTTGTAGTTAAGACTTTAAGAAGGACCATGAATTTCATACACATGTAATAGGCGTATAAGTGGCCTTAGGTCTTAAACATTATAAGTATTAACTACAGTTTTCTATTACAGTGTTATAACGTTACCCGTGATCTCTGATATTTTTCGTTGAATTGCTAGCTCATTTTGTTTTATAGTACTATATATTGAATCTAAACATCAAACAAAACATTATAGTATTATTCTATTAAACGCAATAGATTAACATGAAAATTCACGGATGAACTGTGGTTATTTTTACTAATAAAACAATAACACAACAAGCAGTTTTAGAGTCTCTGGAAAATTATATGGAATTTGACTGGAAATTTTTGGAAATATAAATACTAATAAATTACTTTGGTCTAAATTAGGATTTCCTAAGAAGTTTTCAGTGGATTTATTATGGTTGGTATGAATTGTAATATTATTAATAAAGAATAATTATTCTTAATTTTTTTTTTTTTAAATTACCGTTTTCATCTTTTCCGATCAACAACAATGAATCTATAAAACAATTATTTTAAGATAATATTATATTTAAATATTTATTATACTTATCAATATTTTAATTGTGAAATAGATCAATGATGTACTTATTTTGCTTTAGCATATTTTCTTACATATAAATTTACCAGTTTTACATATTGACAGTAAAATCGGTAAATTTACATCCCTAGTACTATTAACACATAGAATTACAGAATTAAAATTAAATTTGACCTCACGATAGAACGATATGTTGGTATAAAAGATATTATTATAACTTGCCTGGCGGAAAAAGGAATTCAATAATTCCATCTGAAATAAAATTAAAAATTAATTTGTTTAATAAAATAGCGAAGGCACACTTGGATTCTGTGGAAGTTTGATGAATCAACATGAACAGTTCTTTAAGTAAATAATTTATTGGTTATTCGATTTTTAAAGACTAAAAAATAATATACCTACCATAAAGGAACTCTTTTATTGTATTTATTATCAGGCTGTACGCATTACCTGAAATCAAAGTACAAAAATCACTTATAAATGATATCGCCAAATAAACATTAGTTTTAGATCTATTAAACAAAAAATAAAACATAGGCATAGCACTAATGGCCTTAAAATAATTCATATATTTAGAGGAGATTGAAGAGCTTTAGAGGGCCCTAACAAGTTAAATAATATTCAATTTGATATGAGTATTAAAAAATGTAGTATATTGCGTTTATTGTTCATGTCTTAAGCATGAAGAATAAAAAGTGAATTATAAAATTGAAGAGTACAAAAAAAAAATCATGTGTAATCAGTACAGATTACATTCAACAGTTTCTAGTTGAATATCAATGACGTTAAAATAGTTTAAATAATTTAAAACACTAAACATAATTAATTGAGATTCTGTTTTTTAACGAGTACCTTAACACATTTGACATTAAGAGTTCTGCGTTTTTCAGACTGTATTAATAATATATACCTAATATACTATATTATTATTATTTCTAATACAAACACTCACTATCCGTTAATCGCGCAATCATATGGTCTGGAAACAATAGAATATTTGTATAATTATTCAAACAACAATATAAAGTCGGGACATGCATCATTATTTCTCATAATCAGTTCTTGATTGGGGAGGGGGGGGCGCTGAGTATCTCAATTAATTTTTTTGATATTCTAGCGTACCCCTATGTTCTAATATTCTCATCTATGAGATATTTTTAAATGATGATGATGTTAAAAAAAAATGAAAAATGACATAAAAATAAGTTTATAATTGTTTTGTACATTTTAAGTTGGATATGTATGAAGTCACAGATTAGACCATTGTTTAACTATATTGTCAATACAATTCGTTGGGTTGAAGACGGACTCGATTTTGAAGAAGTAATTGGAAAAATATTTTGGGTTTCAATATGTACGATAAAGCTAAAAGCAGATGACACATTTACTTACTGGTACGAAAAATCTCTGTGCGACAATCTGGAATTGTAATATTATGGCCATTTTATAAAATATAAAATTAAATCAAGTAGTATTTATAACAATTATTGACAAACCTAATATACCACTATTAGATATGATGGGATGATGTCACAATGATGGTAATGATAAATTATACTAACTGAAATCTACTACCTATTTTATTTGCGACATAAACACATTTTGTCAACACGATACGCATATTAGACATTGCCTTTTCTATAATGTAATTTTTTTATTATTTGAAATGCATTTATAAAATGTTTTTAATCGATATAAATATATATATATATATATATCTATATATATTTACACAACAAGAAATCGCGTCGTCTGTGTTTTAATAAAGAAACTATTGAGCAAAGAAACCTGCCGTCTCGCAGGGTTCAAACCAATGTTGTATTTAAACAATGAACTGACTACAAAAATGAACAATTACATTATTGCATAAAAGGCTTAAGTAACAGGCTGGGATGGATTATAGTCAATATTAAAAATATTATTTAATGCATTACCTTCACGCGTTACGCATTTAATACCATTTATAAACGTCCCCATAGTAATCACAAACAAACATAATACATGTAGATTTTTGTTGGTCATTGTTAATCGATATCTAAAAAAAACAAAACAATCAAAAGATCTATAAACACCTGAAAGTCAGACTTGTGTGAAGTGAAACTTGTAAGTTAAGTACCTAATACAATTTTGTTTATACCGTATAAGTGTGTAATAACGTCTTTTGATGTAAATTATAAAACCAATTAAAAAAATGTATTATAATCAGAAACTACAGGTTTTCCTCATTATTGTCGTCACTTTACAAACAACACTATGACTCGATACATATATCAATATTCTTAAAATTTGTGATTAACATAACAAATTTACATTTACATCAAATCAAGTCAGTCATGATAGGTATCATCCAGAACATTCCGTTCTGGGACAATTTTTTGGGAATTTTATCCGGACCCTTTATAACACTATTGGGAATGAAAGATGAATCAATTAAAAAAATAAACAAAAAAACAGCTAATTACCCCTAATTAAATAGACGGAATAAAATTATGTTCTGCGACTAAACTCAATCTGAATATATTTTTTTTTTGTTATTGGATCATAGATTTTGGCCGTTGAGAATACTTGCAGATATAAACTATTCCGATCGCGAAACACTGTTCAATATATTACCTGTTATCTTGTCGTGTCTTGTTCGATCTGTACGCGTCATTGGAATAAACACAAAAAGAGTGTCTGTGCAATCTTTTGCTATTTAAAGACGTCCATGTAACTCCTGTACAAACACGGCGTAGGCAGCGGTGTATTGCTTTGAACATATTATTGATATTATCTTCTACCAAAACAATGTCAATTGTCACAAAACATATTTTTAATAGCTGCTATAGAAAACATTTTTATTTTCTATGAAATTGGTATACAAAATGACTACCTCTCGGGTTCAGTGGTTGGCAGGATTAGTTAAATATTGAGCGATCGAGCAAGCACAGAACAAACAGAAAAGAAACTATAAAATTCTTTTATGTAGCTAAATTGCCTACGCTCGACCCCGTTTTTTAACGAGGTGCGTTTCATGTCGACCTCGAATAAAGTAATTTTGTAATCGCCGACCATATGGTAGAATGTTCGATTTTAAGATTATAATAGTAGATACCATATAGATATATCTGCTTAGATATCAAGGGCGTATATTTAGCTATTGATCAAACCTGGGCGTTATTTAAAATATATACTTTTTTTGTTTTTCAATACAAATTTGCTGTGATCCTATTACAATAACAAGTTATCCAGAAATCGAAATTGTTTGAACAGCTATGGTCTATGTATTATATCTTTTCCCAGTTGGGTGTTTTGATAACTTATGTTTTGTACACCACTTAATCCCAAATGGTTTGCGCCGTTGATAAGGAATGAACTATAATTTTAGATGCACTATCTTCTCAAATCAAATATTTAGGCTTAATTTTTGACAAGCGCCTATCCTGGACACCGCTCTTAAAAGAAAAGCGCAAAGCACTCGACTATCGACTGAATATGCTTCTACACTAAAAAAAAACAATAAAAAATAAGCTTTTCTTTTCAATAGCTTTTAAAGCCGATATGGACCCATGGTATTATTATCAAGATAGCCCCAATCGTTGAAACTGCAGCAATTTTCTACCAACGATTCCACTCCAGACTAGTCACACGAAAATTAACTGGTCTCCCAACTCGCATCAGATCCTCTCCCTGAGAATCCTGTAAGGCGACTTAAAAAAAAACTGGCCCCGATATCTTGTTAAGAACAGCTAAAATTAATGTTCTCTTATCTTATTAAGTGGCTCAACTGTGAGATTTCCTACTCATGTCATTCACTGTCTACGTTTCTTTCTTTGTAGTTAAATAATTGACTACCAAATCAACTCAATTACAATGCGACTTTCTTGGAATAACGAAAACTCACATAAGTCACATAGGGCACAAGCCTTTGGGATTAATAATTATCGTTAAAACTAAATGTAATAACTTCACATTTAAGTAGACGGTATTTTTTGTTATTTTCAGAGCACAACGCGTGTAAATGTAGACGCCCGACGGTGTTTATTTGTGCAACACAAGTGTATCAAAAACATTATTTATAAAGTAAAAAAAAAACAATACAAACAAAAGGTACCTACCATAATATGGCTTTTTGTAATATTATTATATCATAAGCATAGCCCATTAAAATGTGGAAGTCATTTGACTATTTTTTTTATAGGTATGACATCGCTTGACCGAGTTTCAAGCTGGACACTTTCACCATAGCATCTGAAGATGAAAAACAAAACAAAACTGAATCTCGGACACTAACCGATATCATCTAACTATTTCTTAAAAAAAAAAAAACGAAAAAAATGGAACCTCCCCGTGAGGATGGGGGATTTGGTGACTTTTAGGTTCACTCATACTTTTCAAAAACCCACAAAAATCTAAAAAAATTAAAATTAAAATTTGGGCAAGCGATGACATTTTGAAAAATAGTAGAATGACTAGTGTTGTGTTGGCGAGCCCTTTCATCACCAGTGTGTCTATTACTACACTACGCAAACACAGACTCCAACAGATGTTCTTCTACACGTTATAAATGAATATTGGAACCCAGAGTTTCATAGACTTGGTATTAGATTACATGGACTAAACGTCCATACATTTTCAAATGTACTTACACATTTGTGCTCTATGACATCGATACGTTTGTATGATTTATGTATAACCATCATCATGTAGCTTAACGTACCATTTATGTATAATAAATAAATATAATATATAATAGTTTATTTTGAATTATAATGCCACAGCTTGACAATTAAATAGTAATCGTGTAATTGACATCCATATTTTAATATAAGTTTAGGTTTGTATGTTTTAATTCTCCATAGAACTAGCAATCAATGAGGATAAGAATTATTCATTGTGTCGCAGATTTAAACTTTGGTTTATAGTAATTATATAATAGAAAAACACAATGCTGTTCAAGTTCTGTATTGTGTTACTGTTTTTTATCATAGCTGCTAGATCTGTATCAGGAGACAATGATGATGAAGTAATATTTTGTATTTATATTTTGAGACTATTTAATGGTGAAATAATGTTTAGATTAATTATTATTTTTACTGCGCTTTTTTGAGGATTCCATAATGTACTTTTCAGGAAGGATACCTACAGGTCTGAGCACTGATATACTATACGAGTATGAGATATAAGACTATAAGATCTGTAGAGTTGCTACATATTGAAATCAGTTCAGCGGTTTAATTTAAATTAACCATGGATAATCTTAAAAATATAATATTTCAGATTCTAAAAAAATCGTTTGATGAATGCAGAATATGGTTGGAAAAACCTCTAAACCCTACTATTACATTGGCTGATTTTTTTCTGTACGTCGGTAAACTCGACAAAATCGTAACTTCCATAAACAAGTACTTTAGTGGAAATGAAACTGCAGCCGAAAAAAAAGGTAACCGTTAACAGCCGTACTCACGTTTAAACGTGTTTTTTTTTAGCATGGAACATGCTTTAGCTTTGGCCCACCAGATCGAAAACGACACAAAATAGCGTCACGAAAGTGGCGCGGAAGTGGCGCGATCTAGCGGTTGTTATTTTACACAGGCCCAACTCCTTTTTCAACTAAAATGAAACATTATTTCGTTTTTGTTCTAGACGAAATAGATTTGGATCGATATAAGATCCTTTTTAGAGTGATTTGCCATGATAATGGTATTGATCCAACGTACTACGCTCGCATTAGAAAAAAAGCATCGGACTCGACTACACGACAAGAAGCCGCCTCACTTTACCAGGAATAATACCTACGCATAGTGTTAATTAACTGTTGTTCTTTTATACTAACATAAGAAATGTAAACTGTTCTACTGTTTGTATAAAATGGTACAACGTTAAATTTTAACACGACGTAATAAAATGTTTTCAACGTGTAAAATTATCGCCGTTTATATTTTATTCATTCGAGTACAACGTCCAATAACGATAAAGAGTACAGGTACAGGCTAATATCGCGGTGTTATGACTTATGATAGACAATTGCACAGCATATTTGATATTGACAAGACAAGATTACAAAATATATGAACACCATTAGCGACTGTAGACAAATTATTAAACCCAATGTTCTACAATTTTTGACCTTGAAAACCTCTAGTCAAGTTTTTTAGTAAACTCCTGAGTACTTTAAGTAAGTCAATTGACGGTTGTTTTTCATGATTGTATTAAGCGGTGGTTTTTCAAATTTAGTTCACCACATGTTATGTACTTACCGGATATTATGGTTTTTACTTTACCATTAATGACATATTTGGTCATTTCGTTTTGAACGAGTAACATATTATTGTCTCTCAAACTGTTTCAGACAGACCGTCTAAATTATTTTTTAAAAAAATGTATATATAATACATTATATATAGAGTAATTAATAATTTTATCATTTTAACACATTTATTTATTATATTATTTTAAAACTTAACATTTTACCATTTAACAAAAACAGTAAAACAATGTATGTAATATAATATATCTTATTACTATAAAAAAATATACAAATAACAGTATTAGAATGGATGAAAATATATATGATTATGTACAATATGCATGTATAATTTATCCATTAAAATATAAACCAAATAAAACTCAAATGAGCTGCTTAATTTTATCATGATTTTAGTATGAGCCGGTATTTTCCGGATAATTTAAGGCAATATCTCCCGTTGCCTGTAATTTCGATGCTCTTTTTCTATCAGCAGCGTAATGTGCTGGAGTGTGACCATTTACTTTGCAAATTATGCTAAAAAGAGTTTTATATAAATGTAAATCGATTGCGTCTGAAAAAAAAAATAAACAATATATAAAAGTTTATATACATTTGATTAGATTTTAGACTTTTATAAATTATTCTTTCTCATATCTTATATCCATTTATATAAATTTGAATGTTTGTTTGTATGTTTAAATATGTTATGGTCAACATTTCAGAACCACTCAACAAATTAAGTTAACATTTTCAAGATTTCTGTCGTCAAAAATTTGTTAAGCCAATTCGGTGGTCCGTAACCCCCAGAAGAGCAAAGAAACTGAAGATCAGAGGACTCGGCGTTTGATGTATGTATATCCGTCCAACTGATTGCCGTTGTTTCTCTGTTTATTTATAATTTGTTTAAGACGTATTCTTTGTTATGTCACCTAAGCGTGTTAGACCCACTCTAGGTCTGTTTTGTATTTGATTAACATTGGAAATTTTCATTTTTCACGGTAACGCACTAACTTGAAAACTGATTAAAATGTTTTCAATTTTAAAACAAATTGGTAAAAGATGTATTTAAATAATATAGAATAGATAAAAAATATATTTGTTAAATGTAGTTTATAAGCGTTTATCTGAGAATGGTTTCATCGGTATCATCAGTTCCATAATATCGTTTTAAATACTAAGACCCAAGTATTTATTATTATCATCGGCATTACATGTTATATACATAGCATATTAAGTCAATAGAACACAAGTAGCACTAAATACCCAGAGTAAGTATAGAATCCATTTTAGGTTCTCAGCATATCATAAGCAAAAACTACAAAAATCCGCACTTATTCAAGAAACTTCTGGTGACAATTTGTGATTGCTTAATTTCCTTATCTTCCAGGAGGTGTACATGAATAACATCATGCCTTATAGAACCTGCCCACAAGAGCTCGGGGACGCAGGCTTGAAAACACTACTCTCTTCTCTGAATTATAAATTATCCGGATTTTCGAATTTCAATTTTAACACCCTTCGTGAAAATACTTGAAGAGTTTATTTTGTAATAAGTGTTTATCATGGTCGGGGTAAAATAGCAAATATTATTTGAAATTGCATAAACGAAAATGAAAGACCTTTCTTAGAACCAAATACTTCACAGCTTGTATCGTGCTAAAAAAAATGATTAATGAATAACGAATTAATGTAATTAACGGTTACTATTAGTTGCAGCGCCAACTTGAGTCCCGTTTAGAAAGATTATTACGGCATTTTCAGATTGGTGGTTGTTATCAGAGGCATATAAGAAAAATTCATTCAATGTAATAGTAGAGTCTAGAGGTTTGTTCAGCCATTGTCTGCAGTCATCGAAAGATTGTTTTAGAATCTGAAATATGTTTTCATTAATAGTGTTGTACTTAATTACAAAAACAAAAAACTGATTCTAAAATATTTAAATAAGTATAGATCATAGAACAATATAAATTGAACAATAATAGGCAACAACGCATAATGCGATACATGTCCAGAGGTCGACATTTCACAGTAATCGTTTAATCATTAGCTATTAACCTGTTATTGTCAATTGTTTGGTCATGAGTTACTCAACTATCAATGACTGCTGGTGCAGGGGCGGAACAAAGTGACGTATTAATTAATGTTAATATTCAATGTGTGCACTGTGTATTTTCAGTAGCTGTGGAAGAAAGGCATTATACGGTGGCTGTGGCAACGAACGCGTATGTGTTATAGCACCCATATGTGTTGTAGAACCCATATTTATTGTTCAATAAATAAATCTTTATCTCGATGACGGTTAGGTTTTTAAAATAAAAATTAAATAATATTGCTGCAATCAAGCAACATGGCGCATTGGAGGATGTGTAAATTAAAATTATTTTCCGAATATTATATGGAGCTGTGTAGCTTTGTGTTTTGAGTTGTGATTACTTCTGCACTTTGATTAGTGACTACATCATAAAATACGATATTCGACTGTTTAATCAATACAATTATTGAAACTTGGACCAAAATACATAAAATATGATTGCAGGAGAAAATAAAAAAACAATAATTACCTCATCGTTGTCCACGACCTTGGCGCGTTCTTTGCTCAAACCCGGTGTACCCGGTACAGTCTTGAAATAATACAAATATAATTAACGAATATAATCATTGCTAATTTAACAAAAAAAAAATCGAAATATATATACTCAAACAGAGATGATCATGAATATAATACAATTAATACAGCGTTACAAAGAATGCCCTACTCTGCTTCCATGGCTTCTCGCTTCTCAAATAATAGTTGATGAAGTAGGGCTCTGCCCGAAGGATCCCACATCACAATTATTTTTACAGTTAATAATACAGTTCCTTATGAGATTTCGTCTAGTGTTTACGCACATTTACGAGTGTCTATCACCAAAATTCAAGAACTGTTTATTACTTGAACTGCCCTTCTCAAATAACAACATCTCTTTTCTTTTATTCTACAACTGTAGTCTGGGATTCGCATGTATTTACAAGCTTTTGTAGATGTATCATCTATACTTGAACGATTACCCTCTCTCATACAGTCCATCGTTATATTATTACATCAAGTATTATTGCCTGAGAAAATATAAAACAATTACCTCGTCATCGACATCCACCATGACCTCGGCCTCGACATTTTCCGAGACAGTTGCTTCGCTCGAACAAGGTGCACCCCGTATAGGGTTAGCAATTATTAAAAACAATATTAAAAAACAAGTAAACATATTATTATATTATCTACCGTAAATTGTAAAGTTTAACTCGGAATCAAAATGAATTGTTCTCGCTACGGCTGCTAGTTTTATAGTGAATTAAAAATAACCAAATGACAAATATACTAAAAATTGTACTGTAACATTGACTATTAATCATATAGTACATTTTACTATAAATCATTAAACGATTTTTTTTGTTTGTTTTATTTCATTTAACAAACAAGTGTTTTTTTTAGCATTTTAAGGGGATTACACGTGGGCCGTTTTTAAGAAGTTTTGTGTAGGCAATATTTAAGAAAAACGAAATATTAATTAATTTCGACCATTTCAACTAATTTACCGGTTAATTTGTAAAAGCTTCAATGTATTATTTTTAATTTAAATAACTTTTTCTATGAGTAAAAGTCATTCTAACCTCAGTAGTCCTATGGAAAATGCCTACTGTGGTTAATATGCATTCCACCTACAATTAATTAATCATAAATTATCCAAACAATATCTTTTATTTTCAAGACCAATTTTGTAAGCCATAAATAAAAATAAATTTAAAAATATATTTTTCAGATCACTATTAATTTTAAATCATAGTATCCGGAATCGTTCATACATTATAAACATCTCGAGTTAAAAATCTACTAAAAACTGGATTGATCGATTACAAGTTTTGAATAACTTTTATTTAAGTCGATATCATTAAAAAAAATGAGGTGAAGTGCAGCACAACGTAGTTCAGTCATTGATTAAGTATACATAGATAGCTCATGTCAATAGGAAACACGGAAACACGTTATTTAGTGTTCTATACTATTCATAGATGTCGCACAATAGGGGGGAGGGGGGGTAAAAAATGTGATTTATGTGGGTAAATCGTTGTTAGTTTTTCATTTTTTTATTGCAAACAAAATTTAGAATCTTAGTTCTAAATATTAATTATAGTTAAATAAAACGGTTATAAATATAGACTAGTTAACTATCGATGAATACATTTCCATTATATTGTTAATTACGATATATAGACAGACGATCAACCCTTATCGTATCCACCCTGCACAAGACTAAATATTAAATTTTAAGGGGATTGCATGCGGTCGGTTTTTTCAGTCAAACCTCATCATTTTTATTGCATTGCACAGAATGAACCAGTGATCCGATAAGCAATCCAAAAACAGATTTGAATTTGTCATGAAGTTTACTTATGATCGGTCAGGGTACTTTTTTTAATTTTTAATTTTAACCCTTTCTAAATTTGATTTTAAAATTTGAAATTTTATAGAATGTTCAAACGTGTTTTATATATAGTAGGAATAAGATATCAAAAAAGTACCCTGACCGATCATAAGTAAACTTCATGACAAATTCAAATCCGTTTTCAGATTACTTTTCGGATCACTGGTTCAGCCTGTGCGATGAAACAAAAAATGTATGTTATATTAACTAAAATGGTTTTTACTCATAGACAAAATAATTTAAATTAAAAATAATACCATGAAGCTTATACAAATTAACCGGTAAATTAATTGACATGATCAAAATTTATTAAAACTACTTTTTCCCTAAATATTGCCTATACTAAACTCCTTAAAAACCAACCGCATGCAATCCCCTTAAGTACATTATTACTGGTCCCACGATATCTTCTAAATTCTATAACTGGTTTGAACATACTATCCACATATTCGCATCGAAGCGTTTATTTAAAAGTGATTTTATCACTTTCAGTTATGATAAAATCTGTAGATCCGTGACCTCTCCGTCCCCACTATGCCCCGATCCCACTGTACTGGCTTTTTTTTAATGTTTTTAGAATTCCAATTAAAATGCAAAAAACATAATGGTTTTTTATTAAAATCGTCAGAAGTTAGATGCATTAAACCTATGTTCCCTAAAAAAAATGTAGAAAACTTTTAAAATGTGTTCAAAAATTAATAGAATTATAATTTAGAGGAAAAAAGAAAATATGTATGGTTAGGTAAATAACATTAGTCCAGGGCCCATCATTTAATGCAATTAAAATCTCGCTTATATAGTTAATATGGACGGTGCGCGGGTAAAAGGGAATAAGTCTATTTTTACGAAAAAAACTGTATTCTATTTTCTGACAATTTTTAAAAAATAAAGGGAGAAGTTGCAAAAAAAAGTGTATTGGCCGCCCAGTTTTGAACCGGTATGTCGTGTGTCAGAGCACCATTTTCGATCGAATGAACTACAGATTTAGCGCTTTCTATGGTTCGGCTCTCATTTATGAGCGGCTAGCTTAAAACACGACTTGGGCTATCTATGTGTATTTAATCAATGGTTCAGTTAAAACAGTAATTGTTAACAATAGCTAACGTCTAATAACTAAAAACTTAATTATTCATCAAACTTTACCACATATTAGTGTTTAAAAATAAATCACACTGTAAACAACATTACCCAAAAATGTTTTGTCTTCAAGTTAAATTTTTATTTACAACAAACAATAATTGACAATAATATAATATGTTTGAACATATTTGAATATTAAAAAAAAAACAAAATATGTTAAACTTTTAATGTCTCGACATAGATACACATTATAGTCATTGTTTGTAATTTATACACGTTTTATTTGTACTAATTTAATTTATTTGTTTTGTGACTACGTGTACATATTACTGTTCAACATTTGTAATTATATATATTTTATAAATAAATATATTATTTTATCCGACAAAAAAAATGCGTAATACGTAAAAATGTACGTCGTAAAAAAAATTGTAGTACAAAAATTTACTAGAAGCACGGCTTAGATGTTAAATAATCAAATATAATATGTAGTATTAGCCTCTAACTGTACACAAGGAACATAAACAATTATGTGTTACTTATTCGTAAAGTGGGGGTGCTAAGCACACCCAAGCCGCTCCCGAATCACACATTTAGTATAATAGGCAGTAATAATAGGAAAAATACGTGGGCAGTATAATAAGTAAAATATTTTAAATAAAAAAATCAAATAACAAGTTCCAATTAATCAATTATGTTTCAGTTTGGCTATATGTTACGATAAACTCGATAACAAAATAGAAACAATTGCTGCCAGCGTGGTCAGCTACTTAATTACAATACTTGAAAGACTTTGTCTGCCTCTCAGTCGAGCGGCTACCGAGGAATTCAAGCTAAACGGTAAATAATTTAATAGATCTTGTAAAAGTTTGACAAATAACGATCCGATTGGTTGGGAAATTACAACAAAAAGCCCTGTGCGGATTGAGTATCATAGTTTGGAAAATACTAGAATATTCTTGAGACATCTCCGTCTGCTGTTCAGAAATGTCGACTTTAACCTCATTAGGTTACACATAGAATATATCTATGTAGTAAAGCCATGATAATGTACTGATAGACTGGAAAGAAGCTAAACGGTGCTTGGTAAAATGAGTTCCTACAAAGAGGCTGTACACATATCTGAAATTCTTGTGTAGTAATTGTATTTGCTGAATTCGCTAAATATTAATACCAAATCGTAATCTAACTATGACCATACAGGTTGTTTCGTTAAGGACAAGACAAAGGCTAATGGCCATTTAAGATATTGCAATTATTTTAAGACAAAATAAGCGTCTCGTCCTTAATGAATCATTCTGTATATCTTCTATAAAATAGAAATTTATATTTTAAAATATAAACACTTGATGGTGCCAATAACGCACAAAACATTTCATGCTGTGGTATTTTTTTTTTTAAACAAAAACAGTCATGGCTCGGTGTGTACTGTGTTGCCGATTCCGACTAAATCTAAGGGGCAAACCATATGCTACCGTATTTTATATAATATATTAATCATATTATTAATATATTACCGTCGATATGGCCGATTATGTATACTAAAACTTATTTTTAAACTTAAATTTCTTGCAAAACAGTCGAAACGGTGTTGGAAATGTACACCGACCTCCTTGCCGGTGAAATAGGCCCCTCTGAACTTTTAAATATTACAACATATTGTAACAAAATGTGTGTACTGTTTTGATATTTTCGTAAATAAATACATTCAACGCATATTATAAGACTTCATTGAAATGAAGAAAACAACAAAAAAAAAATACCTGGAAGACAAATTTTCTTAGCAAAACGCTAGAAAAGTAGGACACGGTTTGTTTTTGTTTGTCTTCAAACGTTTGCGTTAATGTCATTTAAAAAAAGAATGCTTTAAACTAAAACGTAGTAGGTGTACAATGATTGTTACGCATTTTTACATGTCATTTTATAGTGAATTTTTTAAAAAATAACACCTACTTTTGTGGTGAAAGTTACATTGGTAAATGTAGTATAAACTTCTAAAGACAAACTTAAACTAAACGTGCTCTACATTTCCACTACAGCCCAGGAATGCAAACAGAGGTGTAACCGTCTTTTCAATTATTTTCTGTTTTTATTAAATGTGTAAATATGAATGTTTCTTACATTGCTTTATTTTTTCTACTTATACCTAAAATTGTTCACAGGAATAAAACATTATTATATTAACTAATATAATAAATAACCACCGAATTCTTACTCCTATTATTTTATTCAGAACAGAAAATAATGTTTATAACAATCAACTGTTTGATACCAACATAAATAATAACAACAATATCAAATAATAAACAATTGTATTGTTGTAAATGATCTAAGGTGTGCACAGACCGAATGGCACCTAAATAAAACTTCAGATTGTATCCGTCAAAGCAGAGTAGGTACACTACGCTATGGCGTATAGTTTACACAACTCAACAAACAAATAGGTCGACGTGTGGTGTCGTGCTTTATCAAGTATCCAAAAAAAAAAACCCCAATAAGAAAAACAAGTCAAGACATTCATACCGGTATACCTACTGAATAATACTGTGGAAAAGTGCGTTTATCGTGTCCAGTATAACAGCTAATGCACTATGTTTACGTTTAAACCGTGCAAGTTGATAGCCACTATGATCATAATATTGAATTGTAAGATTGAAAACGTTAGCGGTTATCCCGGAGCCGATCTGGCCAGAGTCATTACCTACAATACCGGTTACCCTTTGAGAACCATTTACGAAAAAGAAACCCTATTGGCTATGCCGGCCGGTCTGGCGAATCACGCGAGAACGGCCAA